AGGGTGGTTTTATATGAACGGGGATGGGGGAAGACCGTGCAGTGCAGAATATGGAGGGTGTGCATTTATCTCTAATTCCCGAGGTTGGGAATGAGACATAGCATGCATTTATGGAGGGTTCATTGTACGCTCATTGATCTGCAAGTCACAAAAGAATTTCCAAAAATTAAGTTTAACAAAAGTTTATTTTCAACATCTCCTCAACATCAACATCAACATCAACATCAACATCAACATGCCATGTTGACTTCTCTCTTCCCTTCTCGATATGATCAATAGAGAGTATTTATCACAACGCAACCAACTTCGTGAAACTGCAAATTCCTTTTTATAGATAAATCACAAAAAAGACATTATAAAAAAAAAATCAACAATTAAACCTAACTTGATTGAATGTTGCACGGATTGATTTAAGTCTATTAATGTCTACGAAATCTTTAAACAAAATCATGCGATAAAATTGATTCAAATCGTATCGTAAGGTTTATTTTTATTTTTATTTTATTTTTTTAAAAAAATAGAAATAATATAATAATAATAATTAAAAAAATTGCAATTAAAGATCGTAAGATCTTAAAGAATCATACGTTACTAAGATGGCAAAGGTTATCACCCAAAATCACTGACCGACCTATCTATTATTATCTGACTGGATGGGTTGTCCGACTTACACCTTAACAATAGTTTTTAATACAATTTGCCCAGTTAGGCCAAATCAAGTTTACCCGTGTATAATAAATATTATTAAGAGTATAGTGATAGCAATAATTCACAAACAATTTAATTGTCAATTCATAATAATAATTATACCCCAAAAATTTTAAATTTGCTCTATAATGAAAATTAAAATTATAATTAAATCTATACAAAAATAAACCAAAGCTAAAAAATTATAAAAAAAATATAACTTAAAAACCAAATTTAATTATAACAATATAGCAAAAAAAATTAAACAGATAGTCTTATACTTATAAATCTTTTTTCTTTACTAAATACACCTTTAATACTGCTAAATTTTCCATTCTCTTTCATTACTTTTATATGATGCCGCACACAGCACAACATCTTATAGATAAAGAATGAAAAGAAGCTGATGCTGCTTGACAACGCAGAAGCAGAGTTAAGGAAACTGATGAACAGCATCAGAAACTGCACCAACAAGATGCTAAAGTCCATCATTAGCAACACATCAACAATCCTCAGCTGCATAACTTTGCTCAGGACTTTTCCAAAGATGTAATGGCCCATTTTACATCAAATTAATGTTGCTAGCAGTACTATATATAGTCATTGCAATACATTCAAGTTTCCTACAGAAAGTCCTGGAATATGTTACTTCCCCTCACCTTGCAGAATCTCTTTTTCAGTCAGAATGATATTGCCAAGCATTTCTGGGATAATATTCATCTCTACAATTCAACATTCACATTCACTTCTGTTGGTGTCAGGATTGATCATGAACTTGCTAATGCAAATACTGGTGTTTACACTTTTTATGTCCAAGGTTCATTCTATCACAGAATTGGACAACTACTACCAGAACCTGGATCTCAACCTCACTATTTGCAGATGTTATGTTTGGGATGCTCAACATGAACTACACCATCTAGCAAATGTTGTTCCTTAACTCAACTATTTTACAAGCTTTGAAGGACATGCTTGATGAAACAAACCCCTATGTTACTAATTTTCAATACATTTCTAATCTACCTGCTGAAAATATTGGTAATCAATCCATGGTTATTTGTGCTGATATTCCTGGTCTTAATCAAAGGACTCACAATGCCCCAACAGCATCCCAAGTAGCAGCAATCTGGATTAATGATGACATTCCCCAAAATGTGGCTCAGAAACGTGATATTGTATTGTATACACAGATGGATCAGCTTATTCACATCTCTGAGCTTAATGGATGCTATGATCCCTTAGCTTATCCACTTTTGTTTCCACATGGTGAACAGGGATGGGCTCCTAATCAAATTCCATACAGAGACATTCTTTCTGTCCCTGAAATGATGGATATTGATGAAAATCCTAATGATGAAAATAAACACAACATGGAACATGAGCATGATAATACCGGAATACAACATAGGAAATTTGTGAGTACAATGGAGTACTATGCATATCAATTTCAGATTTGGCCCAATTCCACCAATCTGCTTTTACAAGCAGGATGGCTTTTCCAACAGTACGTAGTTGATATGTATGTCAAAATTGAATCAGATCATTTAAACTTTCATTGACAGAACCAAGATAAAATCCAAAGTAATCTGTATCAAGGTCTTCAAAGATGCAGCTTTGCATGGTGGCAATAATCCACAACACATAGATCAGAGAATTCTACTCCCTTCCCATGTTCATTGGGAGTCCTCATGACATGTTA